TGCATAGACAATTTCTGATTGCCATGGACCAGGCGTCGGGCTCAAGCGACCCCTGAGGAGACGGTCCTCGACCGTATCGCTTTGAATTTCTGAAGTGAAATCGCTCGAAGAGAGCGTCCAGACACTTTGTATCCGACCTTGCGTTGGGACATCCATTACCAAAGCTTCGCTATACGCCTACTTGAGCGCGCGATGGCCATGGAAGATGTCCAAGAGAAATGCATCCTTCTTACAAACTGGCGCTTCTATAATGGGCGAGCTCTGGCGGCAAAGCACCACCGCTGCTCTGTCCTTCGCTTTGCGTCCACATCTTTACCTCTTTTGCGCTTGGTCGACGGTGGCTGTTGGTTCAGCATTGTACGTCACTGCGATGCTTCAACTCGCTAATCCTTCAGGCAATCTGCAACGTGGCTTGCTTCTTACTAACATCCCATCTCACCAACAACATCTCTGCTCATCGATACTTGGAGCCGTCACGGACTAGCTAAAGTCAAGGCTAATCTCTGGTCTGCCCTTAACTGGCCAGAAGCTTGGAAGAGAAGTGCGTGTCAAAGCGACGACTTGTGGCCTCTCCACTGCTGCCAAGAGTCGATCTGTGTCCGCTTTACCGCTTCGACGCTCTGCGTATCAAAAAATGCCACCGTGATCAATGCGACGTGGATTCAAGATTCCTCGATCCCTTTCTCGTCTACTCCAAGACGCGCAAGCACATGTGCCATTACACGGACAGGGCACGCAGATCATGTCGATTCCAGAGCTGTGAAGCTTCCGAGTGCCTAGTCCAATAAAGCATGTTCCTTCAGATTGCTTGCGAAGTGGCGCTTCTGTAATGAGAGTCTGATGAGTCTCACGAGTGAGAGATCCATTACCGAGACCGGCTGGTTTCAGGCGTTCATGCCAAGGATGAGGCAGAATCTTCCTCACGCCCAGCTTGCTACTGGGTCATGGTCGATGGTAGTCGCCGTGTATTTGGTGATTGGTAAAATGCCTTCCACGCAAGCAGGGACTGAGCTGAATGTGGCTCGCCACGCTGGATGGACCTTGATCAGCTGTAAATCTAGCCTGCGTGCACCGCGTAATGTAGTTGGCTGGCGGATACGCGCGCGTGGGTATTCTGGTTTGTAGAGCTGCTGCTGCTTGCTGCACCTGCAGCGCCTCAGGAGATCGATCGATCTCGAATTCACGACTGACCGAGGGTTCCAGCGCGCAGCCAAAAGGCACACACGCACATCACACGCGCACTCGCTATACAGAAGTGTAGCTGTGCATAGCCGGCGTCCCATCAGTTGGAGTTTCGCGCGTCTGCGGTGCAGCTGGTGCTGATGTGTGCGCCTCCAGCAGCAGCAGCAGCAGCAGCCGTCCATGCATCCAGCGCCGGTGAGCGCCCGCACGCGCTCGGATGCCTTGTCGGCGCTGCTGCTCCTCTGTCTGCCACGCTGACGGTCTGGAGTTTCTGATGAGACGAGATATTCGCGCGCGCTGTTGTCGACCTGACCAGATCACATCCATCCCGTCGACCGCTGCTTGCAAGGCTGTTTTGCTCCATCCTTAGTTCACGAACGACCTCATCAGCGCATCGAAATCCCGCATACAAAGGCATCGCTTCGCCTTGGATCTGCGGTTTGCCACGACCGGTATACCATCCACTAGATAGGAGCTTGACCACCACCCAATTCACTCATCACCTTCGTACCTCCATCGAGAGCTATCAATATGGGTCTTAGCGTTTCCCGACTGCTGAGCGGCCTCTTTGGCAAGAAGGAGATGCGTGAGTAGCACCTCGGCGGTCAGAGGAGCTTCACAAGGACTATCATCAGGGCTGGAAGAGATCACAGACGCAACCGTTTCGTGATCTGATCGCCAACGCCCGAGTTGAGGCAAGCAACACTCATGGAGGATTGCTCCGAGACTTTGTGCTGCGTGTGCACTCGCGGAATTGTGCGGTGTTACGACG